CAGTACACTTCATCCCACCAGTGCCAACTACGCCAGTCTGAATACTAGGACAATTAAACCCAATTAAATATAAGTGGCAGTAGCTGTATTGGACATTTATCAAGTAAATTACCATTTTTGATTGCCTCATTGCCCTCTGTCCACCAAGGCTACTGTTTGGTACTGGCTGGCTGACCAGAGGAATGCAGCAAACCTTTACCTCAGCTGTGACCAAACTGAATTAGCCACTCATTTGGCAGTTTGTTCCAATTTTCATAAACTAGATAATTGCATTGCATCTTAGAGTGACCGGGCAAGGCTAGGGTATTGTTCATTGGAGGCAATGGCATAGAACAGGCCAGCAAGCACCGAGTAAGCAGTATGTCTTGTCTGGCTGACAAATTAGTTTCACAGTGTGTTAAAAGTAGGAGCATGTTACAAACTATGGTGTTGACTGATTGATATGTTATTCTATATTCTCATCCAGCATTTTCAATAAATGATGTTTCATAGGTTTCAAATTGAATGAACCATGGTCCATATGATGTAAGGTGTTTATTTATTTTCATTTTTTTTCTCTGGCATATGCAGAATCTGTGAAAAAAGTGAAACAACAGATGAAAATTGACTTTTACTAGACCTTGATCCTCAAAGAAAACATTTCTGTTTTAGTTAAATCAGAATTTGATACTAAGTGAATGATTAATTTGTGAAATCAAAGGTCAGTTTTGTTAACTTTTTTTGTTTTTCTGCACCAAGTCTTGCTTTTGAAAGTAACATTTGGTAAATCCTTCAGAATGTAACAGATATTTTTGTCAATACCAACACATCCATTGTTTCATATTGGATGATTGATGTATCAGACTAAAAAATAATGAACTTCCTAATTACTTTAATAATTAGCTTTTGTTGATGCCTTATACAACATAATCCCCAGACAATATGGTTGACTGCATAATCAGGTGCAACGTTGCTGCTAGAGCTTTGTTCAACTGGTAGGCAATTTGCCTATATTGGATTAAAAGAAAATTTTGATTAATTAGGTTAAGATGCATGCTATTAGTATAAATATATGTATAGTTTGCTTAAAACTAAAACCTGTGGTTAAGTGATTTAATACACACGTTGGTAATAATTTAATGACGTATGTGATTCATGTAGTTTTACTGATTGATCAATTTCTCTTGATTTGTTTTAATCATATTGATTTCAGATTGGTGTCATTCTGTTGTGATTGAGATGTTTCAAAAGCAATTATAAAAGAACTACATGTTGTGAACACTGAAATGTTACTCACCCAGTTGGACCAGTATTTATGTTTTTGATGTCAATAATAAGTATATTTTACAAACACTGAATTTAACCAAGTTTAGTATCTGTAATTTTATTTTAACGTCGTCAAGGACCGATTTAGGATTTTGCAGGGGTTGGTTCAGTATTGGAAACTCTTTATTTCTGTTGCTGTAAAATGTCTCAAACTGAAATAGGGCTTATCACTGGGTTTTAAATTAAGTTAATGGTATTCAGTTTTTGTGATTAAAAATATTGTATCAGACCAGGGATATATACGTAATATAACCCTATTTCTTAATTAATTTTTGTAACTATATTTATAAATGAAGCTTAGAATTAATAGAGTCACTAGAGAGTAGCTTTGCAACAAATTTCAATGGGACATAAGTGAACTCGAAAGACTCGGCAAACAGAAGGTGCTAAAATAGGTAATGCACATATGTTGTCTACTGATGCTGCTAACTATCCATTTACAAATCTATCCCATTTGTTTTCCATGGTTTCATCAACATCTAATGACTCCCCTGGTTCTGAGAACAGACTCCGTGGCTGCTTTGGTGACCCATATATACTGCCATGCAGGTCTTTCAGATACTCGAGAGTATCGGCAGTTCGAGGAAAGTTAGTAAAATCTAACTATACTCTGGAGTATGGACTGTCTGTAATGATTAGTCTTCTTTCTGCAGTTGAAATTTGGTGATGGCATATTATAGTTTACATTAATATATGGCGATTTCAAGTTTGCAATGATGTGTTTAGTTGTTCTTCTCTAACATGTAAGGACAATTCAGTGTTTCAAATTCTTATGACACAAATCAATGTTAGAAAAATTCTTCAGTGAAATGAATACTGCATTCTCAGCAATTAAGTAGTAATTAAGGTGGTATTTCATGATGAGAATAATCAGTAGTAAGAGGCATGCTGGGGGATTGTGTTAGAATGTGATATAGGTATCCTCTAGCACATTTCTAATGCATCATCAAACAGAATGATTAACACTTTGCATGTTATGTTTTGAAACACGATGCAACAAACTTAGTATAGATATCACATTTTTTTTCTTTTCTTTTCTTTCTTTTTACTTTTTATTGAAAAGAGGGAAATAATTCTTGAATAAGATGCCAGGGCACCATGATGCATGTTTCTTCCCTTGGTAGAGATAAATCAACAAGCAGAACACATGTTCAATGAATATAGATTTTAGAGGGTATGATTTATTTGAACCAGTGCACAGAAGACACCTTTGTGTTGCAGAATCATTTTGGGAAATCATGAAGTTAAATACATTAGTCTCCCTTGCAAGTTTAAGGGGAAATAATTTGACTTTTTGGGGTAATGATGTATTTGCATGATACTGAAATTGTATCTTTTGGTGCCTCTGGAGGCATCAGCTGTGTGCTATTGGTATTATGAAATATGGTTGTAAATACAAAAGGAAAAAAAAAAGAATTGCTGTTTTACATTTGGACCATTTCTGTTACAGTCTTACAGTTGTTACAATCTTACAGTTAAATCAGAATTTGATACTAAGTAAATGATTAATTTGTGAAATGAAAGGTCAGTTTTGTTAACTTTTTTTAGTTTTTCTGCACCAGGTCTAATTTTTGAAAGTAACATTTGGTAAATCCCTCAATACCACTTATGTGTCTTTTACTCATTGTGTACGGCTATTTTTCTACAAGAAGACTTAAAACCTATTTATTCTGGTTTGGTGTTGGTGCAAGAGCACTTTTTTGCAATTCCCTATTCATATCAAACATTGAATTTGACAATAAAGCACTTGTAATATCTTTAGTAATATAACATTACACACACTGTGATGTAGTCTCAGTTCGTTTCTAAAATTGACAGCCATAATGCTAAGTGGCAGTTAAACTTTATCGTGAGATCTGGCAGCTTCCTTGTGAAGATTGGTCTCAGTGTTTCCAGGAAGTAGCGGTCAGTGCCTGACCACTGGTTTGGGCATTCTAATGTGACCGCAGAGTAGTTATGTCTTGCTGCTTCTGCTGCTTTGTTTCCTGATGAATCAGTTATCAATGTTGCCAACAAAATAGAGCGAAGTGTGAAGATCAATAGTTTACCTTGTTATTAACAATAACGTAACACCTGGCAATACAGGGACTAATAGCTAGGTGGTGGCTGGGGATGCTGTGTTTATTTTCTCTCAGGATAAAACTGGGTGGTATACCAAAAGAGTTTTTTGTTAAATGGTGTTTGTTTTATTAGCATTGGCCAATTGGTGGTTTGCAAATCATTGCAAATATATTGATATTTTGGGAGGAAAAACCTCAGATTTGGCTTTTTTTCTGTTGGAGCAAATGGTGCTTTTTTTATCCAACATTAAGGAGAAACAAAAGTAGGATGGTAAAGTATTATTTTGAACACACATTTGTGGTTACAGGTAAATCCAAAAATCAACACTGCACCATTCCTTCACATGTGAAAAATTCTCTGGGAAAATTGGCAATTTAGCTGGCAGCAGTAGTTTATTTGCAGAGCCCAAATTTTCATAACACTTACCAGGCATGTTGGTGGATGCTGGATGATAAGGAGATATTATGGGATATGTGGTGCTGGTCACCCTGTGAGGAATATATGTATGATACATTATTAGAAAGTTATTAGAGATCAAATCGGGCATATATGTACATCAAGAATGATTATGCCAATGGGATATATGGCAGATGGAGAGTTGGAGGAGGATGGGGGTGGGGGGGTGGGGGGGTGGAATGTACAAGCCTGTTGTCTGGCCAAATAAAGGGCTGCTATGTGGTGGAAATGGTTGTCAGAAATTTCCACAAAAAATAATTCATTACCATTTGCCATTTCTTAAAAGATTAATGTAGAACAAATCTTTCATTTGTGAGTTTGTGATTTAAGTCATTGGTGTGATTGGTTGTAGACTTGGGGCACCAAATTGGCAAAAATGATAAAACCTTTCAAAGTTAATTGTCAAGTCAGATGAAGTGAGGATTTTGGTGTTTGGATAGTTAAAACAAGAATGAACTTCAGTTGGTTAATTTTAAACTGGGATAATAGATCTGAGCCCATATCTTATGAGAGGCCTGTGGGCTGCACAGATTAGAAATCATGTACAGTATGTGCTTGCATTTTTTGTTTCAGTCATTCAGTTATATATCTGGCTCTGATATATATTACTGCCCTTTTGTTTGCTTAATGAGTTATTCTTATACCTTGGAGAATCCTAGGAAAATTCCCGTTATGCAACCTAACATGTTTAATTTTTTTTTGAGGGGGGGGGGGGGGTTGAAACAGCAATTGCAATTACACTAGTTCTAGACATGGAACTTGGAGGTCAAAGCTGTTGTTTTGGAAAAGTTTTGGAAGAAAATATTGCCACAACCCAGACTTTGATAATGTTGCAAAGTGGAAAATAATGATTATTTTCAAGGTACACTTAGGGCCTGTGCATGATCCTAGGGAATTTGAGATATTCTATCATAATTCATCAAAATTGAAATTGCACTGATGACTTGTGGATGAGATTAGCATCCCAAAAGGCAAGACAGGGGTTGTACACGGGTTAACAATTTGCCATATTTTCATTAAAATGATTTTTCAGTTTGCAGGGTTTACACTTGTGGAAACAAGTCTTGATAAAAGCCTATCTGTTTGAACATCATTGGTTCGTATATAAATAGATAGTGATTTCCCTATCTTTCTAGGGCCTCCAATGCATCGGAGACTGAGGATAAGGAATAGAAGTTATTAAAGTTGCCGAACCTCCGAACTGAATATCCCCATTGCAGGAAGTGATGAATGTTACACAAAGTTGCTGCATCAGCTAGTTTGAATTTAGCATACTGCATTGGGTAAGCACAGTCAATTTTTTTGTGACATAGATCTTAATAATTTTTACCTTGGTTGATGTTGATGTATGGAATGTTTTGCCAAGTTGTCAAATATATATAATTTGTAATGATGACCTGGGTAAATTACAGCTGCTTTTGCATTTTTAAAATAAATACACAAATAATAGATGTACCAGTATTTATTGCAAAACAGTTATTTGGCAAAACAACAAATGTGATATAGCATGACTGTAGCTAATGTGGTATGGTATGTATATATATATATATATATATCTATGGAGATACTCAATCAAAGTGGAAATTCTTTATTCCAAGTGCTTGTCTTGTGCATGTTTCATTGTACAAGCAGTTTTTTATTGTTAAAAAATTATTTTGCTTCAAAGAGGAGTTCCTGTGACTTAAGTACACAAATTCTAACAGTTTAATTCCCTCCCACTACAAAATTTATTTAGTATAATATTATTTAGAATATCCGTGCACAACTTTGCTTTTAAATATTTGAAATAGGAAGCGTACAGTGTGGCCAAGATAATGTAAATGATCCAATTAGATGAGAGGTCCTGATAAAAGCACATCAACAGACTCTAAATGTCATCTCAGTGAGATAGCAAAATGATCAGTGGATCAGTTAAATCCAATTTCGATGCGAAAAGGTAGACCAAGGTAATTGCATGGTTTCAAGCACTTCACTGGGAAGCCATCGAAAATAACATTTAGTGCTTCGATCCCAGCATGCTCATCCTAACTCGTCTTCACAATTTCATAAATGTTTGTGGAAGGGACGTGAGGACTGGTGGTAATTATTAGCTGATGATTCAAGAATTCTTCTCAATTGGCCCCATATTAAGCCAAGTGCGCAGAACTGTTTGTGTTTCCTGTAAGTTGTTTGAAAGGAGATAAAATTGAATTAAACCAATTTTGTCTTCGTGGCTGACTGGTGGGAATGGGTGATCTGCGGAACATCTGCACTTTAAGAATGGTGCATATATACCTCTAAGAGCAGATTTTTAAATATCTTTTTTCAACATATGTCTATATATATTCTGAGGTATTTGTATTTCATCGAAAGTATTTATGTATTTAAGCTATTGACATTTGATATATCTTTCGTTGCATTGCTTTGTTTGCCTTTTTAATGATTTTATTATGTTTTTCTCTCCCTTTTTCTTTTTCTCTCCTTTCTCTCAGTAATATGCATGGCAAAACAAGCAATATATAAAAAAAATTCTCTTTTGAATGGGTTCTTAACCTTTGTTCTGCGAACCACGTCATGCAGCAACCTTACAACCATCATACAGTAAACACACTTTGTAGATGTTTGTAGACGGTAATGGGAAAAACACATTCCATACGCTACACTAAGCACCTGTGTCTGAAAAAACATGATTTTTGGAACATCAAAGAAGACACCCTTATGAAATTCTTCCTAATATTTTATCCTTACCTTTACAGCAATATTTTGATAGATGTGAAGCAGGGTTGGTTTTAGTTGTAAAAAAATGTTCTGGTATTTGTTTACCTTAGATCTTACCCACCTGGGTTTCCGTCCAGTGACTCTGGAATTAGATGAACTGGTTGCTTTTGTGCATACAGACAGATAACAGACAGCTGGTAGGCAGATGTCCTTGGGGAAAGGAGAGGGGGTCATATTGGGGGGGGGGGGGGGGGCTAGAGGCAGAGACAGGTGTCTTTAACTATATGGGAAAGACCCATACCAGAACCACATATTTTCACATTTTGTATATATAGTTGGTAGCCAATTTCCTTGATTTTATGTAGGTATTATATAATCATTGATATAATCTATTGCTTAAAAAACTCGAACATTTGAATTGGTTAAAGTAAATGTAGTATTATAGTCAGCAAACAACATTGCATGACAAGATATTTGGGAGTGAATGAACCATATTTTGTACATCATCTGTAATTGTCTTCTGCACTATATGACATCAATGCATTAGGTTTCACCTGCAACTAAATTCCATCTTTAACTACTCCTTGACACTTGATGCATTATCTGATCTTATCAGTGTTTTGATTGATATTATTGGATTTTCATTCACTTTATATTCATTGGCAGTGTGAATGTACAGGTATATATATCTTTGAAGGCTTTCCTATTGACTTTTCTCTCTGGACTTAACATTTACAGTATTTCTTAAGGCAGTGTTAAACAGTATAATTTAAGAGCTGTTTGGAATATCACAGGACAATTTCTAACAATATTAGTGCCAATGGCATCATTAAAAACCATGATTGCTTCATTCCTTTTTCTTTAAACAAGACTGGTAGAATGGCATATGGACTTTTGCTGCCAAGTGTCAAGATTTGTGTGTTATCTTCATTGGTGGTCAATCATTATGGAAATAATTGGTTCTTCTGCTCCTTTCAGACAGACTGACAGACAGACAGACAGACAGACAAATAAACTCAAGTGACCACATAACCAACACCTTGATCCAGATGTAATATAACATCCCAATGTCAGCTTCAATCCCAGGTGTAAATACATCACACTGATTGACGTGATCTTATCTCTCCTTGTTAAAACGTCTGTGAGCCCATGTGTGTGCTCCTGGTGTCTGCACTTACACACCTGATAGCTCCCCAACACCAGGTAGGGATATCTCAGGTAGGTATAACACACACACACAGCTTAGAGAAACACTGTGGCCAGATAAAAAAATGTATGCACGTTTTATTTTGAGAATGATGGGGAGGTCAGTGTGCATCACTGTTATGGTTGATCTATTATAGAATTATTATTATTTAATTATATTTTGTAATGTAAAATTATTACATTAAAGATAGATCTATTATAAAATAAATTAGTTGGACATGATAAAAGTTCCTGGTTCTAATAAAAAAGCTTTCTGGTCAGGTTTAAATTGTGAACAGGAATCAAAAAGAGTTATTTTGGACAAAATGTCCTTTGCCTCAGAGATGTGGAGGGGAATGTTTTTATTCATTGCTTACAATAATAATAGATATAATTGGATAAAGGTTTTGGTATTCCTAAGTAACTGCAGCCTAAGGTGGGGATTTGCATATACATATTAAACATTTCTGGTACTTTAAACTTTGTGAAATGCTTTTAATTTTTCTTATCATTTTGACATTTGAATACAAGTCAAATTAATATCTTGAGTTCCATCCCAATAATTGTTTGTAATGAACTCTTGAGTTCCAACCTGAAAATGATGTTTGCAATGAACTCTGGAATTGGAACTGGTACCCTGAGTTCCATTACATAAATGATATTTGCAATGAACTCTTGAACTGGTACCCCAAGTTCCATCCTGAGAATGATGCTTGTGAGAATCATGTTTGTAATGAACTCTGGAACTGGTACATCACATCACATCACATCACATCATATCACATCACATCACATCACATCACATCACATCATATCACATCACTTTGGCATCAACCGTAAATACCTAATGATTAAATTACCTGGGAGTAGTTGGTATTCAACAGGTATAAATGTAAGGTAAAAATTTGATACCAAACAAATGTCTTCTTTAATCCAATGAATAGGAAATCAACATATATATAAAGAAATGGATCAGCTGAAGAATCAAAGTGAGGTTGCACCATTTTTTTTGCCAGTGTAAATGTGACATGAGATTATAGAGAAATTAGAGCTCCAGATCTCTAGCACATTAGTTGGACATTATGAGGTCCATTTGGTGAAATCACTTAAGAGACCAGGTTTCTATAAGTGGCATCAGTAAATGACCTTGCATCTAAACACTGATGATGTGTGCACTACTGGGAAAAGTAGTTTTGATGTTGGTGGCCTTGTTCCATGAACATATTCCTTTTGGGCTCTATAGCTGATGGTTTTGGTCATGCACAGATAGTATAACATATGTTTGTAGGCTATTTTTTTTTCTTTTGAAAAATATATTGGCTTATTTTATGGCATGCTTCCCATTCAGAAACATTCAGGAAACATTTTCTTTTGTCTGCTCAGGGTGGAAAATGTAGGCAAGGGGGGAAGGGGAGTCAAAACATAAACTAACCATTAGCCCTCTTTATCAATTGCTTTATTTCCCATAGCCATTATTCATTTTTATAGAAAGTAATATGTGGTAACCCTTTTATATGTTTCTTGAAATGTTCTAATTTTCATATATTTTGACAAAGAATCCCTATGGTTTACAATGTAGGTCCCTTACTTCCATCATACTACATGTACATGTGGCATGATAGGAAAGACCCCCAGGGCTTTTGGGCCCATCTATGTTGCATTAATGTACATTCAAAACAGGTTCCACTAAATTCATTTTTGATGTTTTTTAGAGTTAATATTGATTGCATTCTGTCATTCAGGAACCTACTTTGGTATATAATGGATATATAATGAACATGTGATAGTAAGCCATTGTAAGCCAATACCTTAACCCAAGGAATTGCAGAAAATCCATGTTTCTTTTAAAAAAACAAAACATTTGTGGTTTTCTCCAAAATGACATGGCAGATAGCATGCTGTGAGATTTTAGAAATTTATTATTGTGGATGATTGTATGGAAGTCTGTCTTACATGTGCTTGTGCATCTGCATGCTTAACAGACTAATATACATAAAATGTATAAAAACACACATGCATGGGGGGGGGGTAACATGATTGTATTTTCTCTGATGCTGAAAACTTAGGTACAAAAAAAAATGCAAATTTTAGAAAGTATACACTATGTGGGATATTTGACAACCAAATAACAGTTTTTGTAATTGACTCCCCCCTCCATATTATCTTGTTTCTACCCTTGGCCTTTATATTGTATTGCCACATACTGAGAGTTTAATTGAAATCATGTCTGTGTCTGAAATAAATGTGAAATGGAAATTATATTCATGCTGTGGAGGAAATATTAAAAGTTAGTTATAAAAATGGCTTGGAAGCTAATAGTCAGGGAATATATAGTCAAGTTAACTTAAAATGCATTTCTGGATTGGGTTATATACTGGTTGTGCTCATAATTCGCGCGACA